GTCGAAGATCAAGTCCCCGCGGATATCGGCCGCATAGTTTAAACTTCCAAATCTGACCTGATGGCCAGGGGTGTAGCTTTCGATCTGCTCCAGATGGCCAAGCAAATTGGCCCGCAGTGCAAAGCCGCCGAACACGAAGATCTGTCTGGGGAGAAAAGTCTCACCCTGGACTGCGTCGTGGTTGATGATCGAAGGAGCCATCGGTCCTATCGGTGACGACAAAGAGGAACTCTCAATGAAAGCACCAATGTCGGTGTCAAAACCGGCGGATCTCGGGTAGGGGGTCCCAAACTGTGCGTCTAGGTGGATGGTAACAGGAGACAAGGGACACAATGTTTTTACCCAGGTTCGGGCCCTCTCGATGGAGGTAAAACCCTACTCCTGCTTGATTAATATTGATGATATGGGTAGTACAAGAGTAGATCTACCATGAGATCAAGGAGGCTAAACCCTAGAAGCTAGCCTATGGTATGATTGTTGATGATGAAGTTGTTGTCCTACGAACTAAAATCCTCCGGTTTATATAGACACCAGATAGGTTAGGGTTACACAGAGTCGGTTACAATGGTAGGAGATCTACATATCCGTATCGCCAAGCTTGCCTTCCACGCCAAGGAAAGTCCCATCCGGACACGGGACAAAGTCTTCAATCTTGTATCTTCATAGTCTTGGAGTCCGGCCGTTACGATAGTCCGGCTATCCGGACACCCCCTAGTCCGGGACTCCCTCAAGGACCTTTAATCCCGGTTGGTGTAAAAGGTAGCCACGCGTCAGCAACTCGCAGGTGCTGGAGTTTTTTTTGAAAGGGGGGTTTAGTGGTTTTGGAGGGTTAGGGGGTTTCATATTGTGTTAGCTAGCTAATAGAGAGAAGTGAACTCTCTTCTCCGTGCTTGGTCAACGCTAGCTACTATACGTATAGAGAGAACTCGAGACACTAGCTAGTAAGCAAATGAAGGGAGCATTAATTACACAAAATCGTCATGAACATACAGAGGGAAGTGACCTCTCTTTCTCCGAGATTGGTCGAGCAACATGTTTTCGTATATATCTATCCGACGCTACTACATATATACAATATAAAATCTCTTACAATCACTAACATCTAAAATCAATTTCAACTTCCACACGGCATCCTCCGTCTTTATGTATGACATGGTCAAGAAAGAATCCCGCCAATTCCTCTTGAATTGCTCGTATGCGATCATGTGGTAGGTGTTCCTTCTGCATCTGCCACAACTAACTTCAAGAAGGGGTCAATACATATATATAAAAGAAACTCAACACAATTGATGGTAATAAAATAAAATTGTGAATATTGTTTACGTACTTCATATTGTTCGTTAGAGTAGCCCCGCTGAGAGGTCGAGTTGTAGATGAACTCGCAAACGTAGTATCCACATAAATTATTCCCGTCTTCCTGCCACAAATACTTTATGAGAAATAGAGTTCAATCAAACTGATAATCTAGCATGATAAATGGTATTGATTAAACTAGAATCAATGAGAGATGCGCGGAACTAGCTAGTACTACTTACTTTGGGGTGTGTAAATCGCAGCTCCTTCGGCAGACCCGGAACCATTTCGGTGAACTGTTTCCAAACCCTGCCAGGCAAAGGAAATGATTACTTGATATCAGCAAATGAACGAAAGTTGCCGATATGGTGCGATAATGATCGATTGAACTTACTTCTGGAGCATTACAGCCATGTCTGCATACTCCTGGCGATCTTTACGTCTCGAGTTTAAGACAACTACTACTCCTCGGTCAAGCTTAATCTCTAGCAGAATAAAGTGGAAACTGCGCACACATAACTCATCAATTACATTACTATAACCTCGAGTAAGCGAAACCGAATATGCACAAGACAGTAACACTCACTTGAAGTTTTAAGGAAAGAGTATTTTCCCTTTGTTTTGATGTCGAAGTAACGATTGTAGCAAGTTGTGCTCAGTATCTTTGTTTCTCTTTTTAACTCATTTACGGTATTTGGGTTAATGAACCCAATGTCATAGATTTGTCATTTTTTGCATTCGATAATCTTCAATCTGCATAATATAGTGAGAATAATTATATATACATGCAATGAAAGAGTTGAGCTATAGAGACTTAATTACATAAATAATACTTACAAACAGTAGCAAGTCATGAGTTGTTTGTTGAGGGCCTCTTGATTGAATAACTGAAATAACTCCACAAATTCAACAGGCAGCAACTCAACTCCGATGAGGCCGCGCTCATCGTTAATTCTCACCATCATACTATCCTTCCCAGACTTCCTGCAGGTATCCATGTACCATTCATGCAATCTTCGCATCATCGTTGTTAGAGGAGGATGATCAGGTTTGACGAGAGGCTTCCTGTACTCACATCTGAAGATCTCTACTGCCTCTAACGTTTCAAACTCCTCAGGCAATCACCAAGATTGGTGCCGGGCAATAGCCTCGGATGATTAGCGACGACATTGCTAGACACCTTGAGCGGGGGGCACGATTGCTTCGCCTGTTCGCCGAGCTGGGGAATTGTTTTCCCACTTCTTCGTTGTGCTAATCTTGCATCAATAGAAGTACTTCCCGACCGCCGCACGTCTTGATATGTCTTTTTAATACAGTGGACATAGTTGGAATCCGGCGGAGGCGGTGGTGGTCGCTTCAGGGCATCCAGAGTGCGCTTCGCTTTCACTGGATCTACCATTTCCTTCGGAGGTGGAGGTTTCCGTTCAAAGTGGGCCTCCACTTCGGCTGCCATGATGTCATCGGTTTCCTTGTCAGTCCTCTCATATGGTAACTTTGGAAGAGGCTCCAGGCTTGGACCAAATCTGTATTTCTTCCCGCCTCTTGTACTGCTAGCCACCGGAGCGGCGTCGTCTTTCTTCTGGCGTTGCTGACGTGGCGGAGTCCGCTGACACGCCGGAGGAGGCGGAGTGCTCCGGCGCGTCGGAGGAGGCCGAGGAGGAGGCGGAGTGCCCTCACGCGCCGGAGGAGGTGGAGTGTCCTGATCACTCGCCGGAGGCGGAGGAGGAGGCGTCCAGTTTGGAAGCTTGATGTACTCCTTCCTCCATAGACAGGTACTCCTTAAAGCATAAACCAGATGATTCTCCCCTTCATGTGTTGGGTAGTCAAGCTCCAGCTCCTCAAATCCCTCCATTATTTCATCCACCGCCACAACAACATGGACATCTGGACTCGGACGGCAATGAAAAGTTCCCTCAGCTAGAGGAGGTGCAACAGAGCCGACCGCCGCCTTCAAAGTCAGGTTATGGCGTTTTGTCATTAGCTCACAATTTTTAGTCTCCATGATACTATCCATGGGGTAGTGAGGAGCCGTGAAATCAGGCCGAACGAGCTCTGTGAAAGCCATGTTGCTTCTCGCTGAGATGGTGGGGTAGCTTCTGGGGCAGCGTCGAAGCAAGGATCTTCGTGCCGCTGAGATGCTTGATCGGTAGCTCGCTGGCTCTCAAGTTCCTCTAGCTTTGCTATTCTTGCATTGAGCTTCTGCATTGAGCTCGCTTCCACTTTCCTCTTTCTCTCTCGGCTTCTATAACCACCGCTGCCGGGGAACCCTATTGGAAATATGCCCTAGAGGCAATAATAAATTGATTATTATCATATTTCCCTGTTCATGATAATCGTTTATTATCCATGCTAGAATTGTATTAATCGGAAATTCAGATACATGTGTGGACACATAGACAATGATGTGTCCCTAGTGAGTCTCTACTAGACTAGCTCGTTGACCAAAGATGGTTATAGTTTCCTAGTCATAGACGTGAGTTGTCATTTGATAACAGGATCACATCATTAAGAGAATGATGTGATGGACAAGACCGAAACTATAAAAGTAGCATATGATCATGTCAAGGTTATTGCTATCGTTTTCTGCATGTTAAGTATATGTTCCTACACCCGGGACACGTGCTCCAAGCTCTCCGCCCACGACAGTGCCCCTGTCTCCGACGCGTTGGAGTACAACAGCCTCGTTGGCGCCCTACAGTACATGATGATGACTCGCCTGGACATCGCGTACGCAGTTCAATAGCGCTGCTTGGAGATGCACGATCCGCATGACTCTCACCTTGCACTCGCCAAACGGATTATGCGCTATCTTCGCGGCACCACTACCGATGGACTACATCTCTGGCGAAGTAGCGAGCCCAGAAAGTTGTAGGTGGGCCATGTGTGCTTTTTGGGGTTTTAACCCCTTTTTTGTTTTGGTTCTCTAGATGTGCCATTTCTATTTTTCTGTAAGCACTCCTACATCGTGTTAATGAATCATACATGTGTTTTTAGTCCCACACACAATGCTTTTGAACAGGATTTAGTCCACATTTTATTTTTAATTCTTTGAAGCTTTGTTTTTTTTCCTTTTATTTTCATTTCCATAGCGCAAAAACAAAACCCTAAGCTATAACAACGAAAATGTTTTTTGCGCCAATTAGTTAAATGTCCGCCCCCAATGCGCATATGTACGTGTCACAGCCCGCATGCAACTAGACATGTCTCACCTCAGACGCATGCGCACCTAGGAAGATTGTTAGGCAGTTGCATGTCCACCACTAGACTTGCAACCCCACTGCAACCGTGTGGCCCTGATGCGACTATAATTGGGCTAGAAAGGGTTGTGCTACTAGGGGTTATGGTCTAGTAGGGGCCATGCTTGCTAATTATAAACACGCTCACGAGGAGACTAGCTAATTGGATGCTATCGGAGCAGTCCTAAACTGCAGCACATCTCTCGCTTCACGTATGTTACTCATAGAATAAAGCAACTATACAATCAATGTTTATATTCCATAGAAATGTACTAACACATACGTAGTCTCATACGTGGACCATGTTTCATACACGGAGTAATAATTGACAACACGTTTGTTCTCTTTCGTAAAAGAAAGATACATTTTTATTCATAGAGCCCTTTATTATTCGATAACAATGTGGCTATGGGAAACATAAAATTGTTCGGGTAGTCCGTAAGTACGTTTACATAAGACCAGAATCTAATGTTACATCTCTCGCTTCTTTAGCTTAACTATGAGCCCATTTTTCATCTCCAGTATACAAGATGGCTTGGGCTGGATGCTTTGCCCTTCCATCACCTCCATATCAAAGTTCCACAACATTGAGGTGATGACGGTCTTCATCTGCATAACCGCAATTTCCTTCCCAAGGCATATCCTTGGGCCCGAGTTGAAGGCCAAGAACTTGTGAGATGGTACGTACCTTAGATTGTTTCCATCTTCCGAGAGCCACCTATCAGGGTTATAGTCGAGACAATCATTACCCCACACGCCCTCCATTCTCCCCAGGGAGTAGAGAGAAATAAGGATGGTGTCACCGGTGCGCACCTCATGGCCACTCGGCATAATATCATTGGCGGCCACCGTCTTGCGCTCGAAAGGTGCCGGTGGGTACAACCTAAGAGTTTCGTACAAGACGGCTCTCAGATAGATTGGAGATTTGGTTTCATGCGGCTCAAAGATCATCATGGTATCCACACCGGATGCTTCTTTGCATGATGCAATGGGTGAGAGTTCACTCCGGATGATTGACACAATGTTTGGTTTCTGGGCGAGGTTGTAGAAAACCCATGTCAGGGTCGTTCCAATTGTGTCCCTTGCAGCGAGCATGTAGCCAATGTTCTTGGCATAGGATAAGTCATCATCAACGTAGTCTGGGTAGGAAGACATAATATCCACACCATCTTGTTCCTCATCATTACCAACATGACATGTGCTGATCTTCCTCTCCATCATCTCCATCTTCCTCCTCTCCATCAACTCCATGAGGAACCTTCGTAGCACTTTGTGCGCTGTGGAGAGCTTTCTGTCGGGGCCGATGTTTAGCCACCTCATTAATTTCCAGCAAGAAGCTGGCATGGTGTGCCTGAAAAATCCCACCTCCATGACTGTGTTCAGAGCGACCACGGCGTCCATGGGTGGTTTGTCTAATGATAGGAGGCCAGGATCCACACCAAAGAGAGACATAGTAGCCAGGTCAAACATAAACCTTGACATCAGTTCTTGCACGTCAAAAGGAGTGCCGATGCTCGCCATGTAGGCGAGCAATGGGAGAAGGATGTTCTCCACCTTGTTGCGGCAGCATGCCTCCGTACTGGCAATCATCCGCGGGTTGCTGAGCACGCTCTTCAATTTCCCACGCTGGGCGGCAGCGTCTTCACCATCGACGGTGAAGAGGCTGCCACCCATGATGTCGAAAATTGCGGCGAACTCAGCACCCTTGGGGAAGTTGGTGTAGTTGGTCGTGAAGATGTGCCGGACATTAGCAGGGTCGCACGTGACGAAGAACCGCATCCCGGTCCCGGGTGGGCCGTGCGCCCTGAAGTTGTGGCCTAATCCGGCGAGGACCATGGTGAGATAGTCATGCAAGTTGTGGACATTGACCATGAAGGAAGGGAACATATGCAATATTGGCCAGTTTGTGGGAAACACTGATGTGTTCTTAGATCTACTGCTAGCCTTGAGATACAAGTATAGGGGAACAAGTAGCACAAGTAGCATGGAAATGAACATAATTGACATTGTTGGCAGTAGTGTGTGAGGTGCTACCTTTATAATGGACATGGCTATGGCTTCATATATATACAAGTTCCCTTGATGATATCCCAGTCTATTGGTACTAATAGTGTCAACATAACTACACTTAATTGGGCTCAAAAGCAGGTGGCAGTTGGCAGATTTTGCGATAAGAAGATTTGGCGAGTTGGAATAAAGTTTCATTCGAGATTAGATCAATCCTAACCTAGCTCTTAATTGGGCTCAAAATGTGGTTCAGTTTTCTGACTTATACTTTCTTATCTGTACGGCCCTGACTTATATTTTTCTCAATTGTTCGGCCTGACTTATTTTTCTCATTTGAACGGCAGTACTGTGTGCCTAGCTGGGTGAAGTAAATTACAAGGCACGTACGCCATCTATTCGTACGTGCATGTACGAGGCAAGAGATGAAATAAACCATGGGCACATTGCGTACGTAATCGAGTCTGCCATATAATGCTTTGGATTTCCAATTTGACTTGTTCATGCACCAAAGATTCATGTTTCTCCACGAGCACCAGAATTCCCCTGCAAATGCAAACCGAACTAGATATGCGTTTTTTTACTTAAAAAAGAGTATAGATACGAAACTTCATGTGCTATATTATATATCACGATGCATTGTCCACACACAAAAAAAAAAATTGCACGACCCATGTTTTCATAAATCAGATTTTGTTTTTTTGGCTACTTTTTTTCTTGTAGCACGGACCAAATGTTCATGATTACAGTCGCCGAATCGCTCTCAATGACAAAGTGGTCTTCAGAAAACTGAACCACAAAATTCCACATTTTGCGCACTTTCCTGAGCAGAGCTTCTTCGGCGTGCCCTTCGGCAATGCCATACACCAGACGTGCTCGCCACTCCGACCATTTATTTGCTGAGAAGAAGAATCTGACCGTTTATTTTGCCAATGGCGGATACCCACCGTTCCATGTTACATCTGCCAGGAAAAGCAGCAACAAAGGAATATAGCAAATTAAGGATGCGCGCTTACGCCTTCTAGGACATGACCGATAGGGTTTACACCAGGTACAGGGCTCTCAGATAGATCCTGGTTTGGTTTACAGCCAGTGAAAGGTAATCTTAAATTTAATGCTAAAGTAAATCCGGTGAACAAGGAGACAGTAAAGGTAATTCAAATAGCGACAGCTCCAGTCTTCAGAATCCTTTTTCTCATACAGTACAAGCGTAAGTTGCCGTTACATGAAGATCAGATGGTCGACGATGAGCCCGCCCGGTTTTGCGCCAACCGACTGCTCGCATCGATCTCATTTAGTTAACAGCACGAGAAGTGTCGATTTCTTCAGTTAACAACACGACAAGTGTCGATTTCTTCAGGTTCTTGACATGGAGGGAGATGTGTAAGAGTAATTGGCATTGTTCTGCAGATCAGGGTCAGAATATTATGTGCCACAAGGCGACAGGCTTCAGACTTCAGATATACCAGCAGCGTGGATAAGGAAGAACGGTTCACAAATCCCAGCATTATTATGACTGTGTGAATAAGGAAGAGCGGTTTATCTTCAGCGCAGCGGGTGTAGCACATCTGTCGCGCTCCAGTAAGCAGGCGCACGCGGAATGGGAGCTGAAGGGCAACACTTTGAGGGCACCATTCCTTTGTTAATTGGGAAGAACAAGCTGACCATTAATCTGGAAGAGCAGCAGTAAGCGAAATGTGTAAATACTAATCTGAACAGTCTGAGATGTACTAATACTACTGAATACTCCCTCCATTCCTAAATATTTGCCTTTTTAGAGATTTCAAATAGACTACCACATACGGATGTATATAGACATATTTTAGAGTGTAGATTCACTCATTTTGCTCTGTATGTAGTCACTTGTTGAAATCTCTAGAAAGACAAATATTTAGGAACGGAGGGAGTAAAAGTAAGCAGTACATGTGTATAGCAGTCCTTGCATACCTCCGTGAGCACGGCATCATAGATCCGGTTCCTTTCAGTGCCCTCAACATTTCAGCAGCATCTAAGCCTTGTCCAATTACTCACAGCTGTAATTTTTTACCAGCCATTCTGTTAGCTGATTACGTTACACAGTGCCCCTCTACTCAGAGCATAATCTCCTTCTTACCTTTGCAGTGCGAGTTGTCAGCTGCATCTTCCGGTATTTGGGGCTCCAGTCCTGCAGAGAGTAGTTGATTCTTAGTTAGTTAGTTAGTGCAAAAAGCATCGCCTATCTGAATATTAACTGCCAAGGCCTGACCGTGCTATTTTTCTTGCACAATGCGGCAGCCACAGCACGGGCCACCTTCGAAATGTTTCTTGCAACAACTACTTGATCTGTGCCTTGGGGGATGCATGCTATTGGGAACAACTGCAGAAATTTATGCTTAGAATGGAATCTGATTGGTGTACTGCATCCAATGAAAAATAGAATGAGAGCAGGCTTCAAATTCCCCAGACTGCATCCAATTTTCACTTCAAATGCAGAAATGATTCACCAATATAACAGATTGATAATATCTGCAAAGCATAACAGATTGATTACTTTTACTAAAAAACTATATTTCATTACTTATGAACAGAGAACAATGAAATGCCAGACACAGACCAGGCTTAGTTTGCAAAAGTGTTTTACTAGAACAACATAACGGGAATAAGGTCCTGATAAACTGGGCAGGGACTTGCGCTGAATGATTGCCCTGCCGAAGCACAGGTTGGTAGCCTATTTTTGATGCCATGAAATGAAATGTATTTTACCAGTTGTACTGCTTTTTTTTTTACAGTGAGCTGTACGAAACGTTGAAAACACACAATGGTGATGGTGAGCAATTTAGTGAAGGATTTCGAGACATAACTCCTGCCCTCTAATAATAGCTAGTTAGAGCTGAAAAAGATAAGCATGTACCATTGCACTGTACATTCTAATAAACACAGTACTACAAATTTTAGTCTCGGACAGTTCAAAACTGCAAACCCAAAGAGTAGACAGAGACAACGATTGTGTGATGCCATAGTATTACAAATTCTGATCAACTCATAAACTTACTGTGCAGCTCTGCCAGTCTGTGGTCACATGTAGTAGCCCTTGGAAAGAAGAGATCTTCTGAAATCTTAAAAGACACTATCCTGGTATATCAGCAGATTGTAGACTGGATACCTTGTATCAGTAGAATGTAGACTTAATACAAAAATACAAACCTTATCGGTGGCAAAACACATGAGAACTTTCCAGATACACCATCAAGCTTTGGAGAAATATAAACACAAGTGGTACTGATAGCACAGTAGCAGAAAGCCATCGAAGCACAAGAACACCTGAACAGCAAGCCATCAGAAATTAGACTGCATCAACACCTGGTATTGACAATACCGTAGAGTGGATGAAAATATTTTATAACCTTGATATGAATTTCTTCAGTTCTTGACTCATATTCTCATTTATTCCATAATTCTGATTGGGAAACCCAAATTACACAAGTAGACCTACCACATCTTGATGAAATGACAATAACCCAAATTTAAATGCAAATATGAAGAAGCCTACAAGATTGAACGAACACCTGCACAGAGAACCAAACAAGTGATGATCACAAGTTACGTTGGTAATTACATCTAGGAAGAAAAGAAAAGAGACTTGCAGAAGGTATTAGCTGCTAGTGACGTTGGTTTTCTAGCCTTGTGGAAAGACAAGGGGCGTTGACAAATAAATCTGAAATACTTTCACTATTGTTGAGAAGAGAATAAATCTGATACGGCGGGAGTATAAGTGGATTTCATTTTAACTTTTTGTGGCGAATATAACTGGAAATGGATATAAATAATATGGTACAGCAGGAGCCAAGTTCCAAACTCTCATGTCATGCATGTGGCAAGTGTGTATGTATGGAAAGAGCAGAGCACTATAGGGCTCGAAGGGAACTCGAAGAATGTACAAGGGAACTCGAAGGCATTGTCCTGCTCATTGGATGGGAATAAATGCAGCGTTATTAAGAAGGGTCGCAAGAAAAGGGCAACATGGAAGAACACGAGAAAGTATGTTTTTGTTACCTTGGATCATCCTCTTGTGATTTTGGGGATGGTTCCCAACATCCACCTGCACTGCCGTTTTAGCACCTCGCTGCAGTCACAGACATCTAGCTTTTCCAGTGACTTGTGGAGGCCATCGCTGGGCAATGACGAGACGGCAGAGCAGGGATTTGCTGAAGATGGTGGAAATGCCTAAACTCAAGTTTCTGGAGGGAGGAGAGGAGCGGAAGGGCGTCCTCTTGCTGCTTGCTGAAGCGCTCCATCCCTTCAGGCCCGTACCCATGAAGTTTCAGCTTGGTGAGAGAGGAAGAAAGGAAGCTGCAGATGGGTGCAGCAAGGAGTCCTGCTGCATCGTCTGTGCAAAGCTTCCGCAGCGTGGACGAAACAACCTGTGTTGGCTGCTCTTCTCCTCCTTCAACACCCTCGGAAGCCCGTCTGGGATTTGGATCCCAATTAGCAAAGAATCTATGGCTGCCCCTGACTTCCAATTCCTTGAGCTGGCCGGCGGCGGTAAGGAGAGACTGCAGTCCCTGACATTTCAGGTCCTTTCCACAAAATTCCAATACTAATCTGGTAAGAGAAGAAAGGTTTGAGAGAGGCTCTAGTGTCCCCATCCCTTCTAATTTCGTAAGCTCCAGGAATTGCAGGGAGGAAGGGAAAATGTGAGTGGAAAACGAGAAGGCGGATAGAAACTTTGGGCAATACTTTATGCTTAATCTCTGGAGGGATCGCAAGGCTTGGAGCCATCCTCCACCAGGACCAGCTCTGGGCAGGAAAGGAACTTCAATTTCTACAGAGATGAGCTGGGAAGAGCAGCACTCCATCACCCCCATCTCTGATGCTGTTTGTCGCAGATCTACCCGTACTACCAGCTGTTTTAGGTTTTTACAATCCCGTATCTCCAATTTGGAGAGCTTTGGGAGGTGTGGGAAGAGCTCTGTCAATTCATTCCAACTATTACCATTCAAGTGGCACATCTCCATGTGCTCAAC